GCCAGGAGCTAGGTGCAGGCATTCTAACCCAGGCCAGGAGCTAGGTGCAGGCATTCTAACCCCAGGCCAGGAGCTAGGTGCAGGCATTCTAACCCCAGGCCTATCCCTGATGCTGGGCACGGGAAGGAAGCAGGTAAGAATGCTGGAATGAGTCCAGGGCCCCGGAGGTGTTGGGAGAAGGGATAAAATGGACGGGGCCCCGAAGCCATAACCCTGCACACCGCCTAGCCACAAAGCGAAACAAGGACACTGGCTGGGTCTTGGGCACACTCCCAGATCTTGGCCAAGGACACGGAGAGCATGTACAGAGGCCCTGTGAACGGGGTGAGCACTCAGCCCCCACTCCCTAGGAACTCTGGAGGTCAACATGTCCATCCCTCTGCCCAGGTCACCTCAGAAGCAGACCTGGGGTAAGGAGAGGTCAGTGCCCATCTCTAGTGTGTACCCCACTATCCAATCCCCTCACACCAGAAAAGGCACTCAGTCCCTTGGGTCCGACAGGCGGGGCTGATGGGCTGTGGCGCCTGTCACTAGTGGCTATCCTGGTCACTTAGCCCTGCTGGCCAGGACTATCCTTGGCTCATCCAGGGTAGGCATTCATTGGTTGAGAGTGGACATTGGAGATGCCAGCAGCAATCAATATGCTGGGATGGGGTGGGGGGTGTGGTTGTTGGTTACCTGCCTCAACCTTCTTGTCACAAATAAGAAAACAGAGGCCAGGAGAGGTGTGCTCCAGCCTCGCAGACAGGGTGGGGCCTCTGGGTGGCAGGGCAAGAGCCCCAGTCTCCAGAGCTAGCCTGCACCTCTCCCCACCACGCTGGCCCTGTGCCTCCTCTGAGCCCCACTGCCGAATGTGCTAACAGACTGTCAGTTCCCGGTCAAGGCAACAGCTGGAATAGGAGGATGCAGGTCCTCCAGTCCGCCCACCCTGTCTTCCTGTCAGAGCCTCCACCACGGGATGCTGAGAGGCGAGAAGAGAACAAGGCTGCAGGAAAAAGGGGGGCTGGACTCAGTCCCCAAAGAGCCTCTCCCAGAACCAGGACTCAGCTCAATATCCCAGCCGGGACCCCCTCCTGGTACCCCCACCCAGGCCCTGAACCCCATTCCCTCACAGCGCATCCAACAAGAAGTACGTTATCAGGCAAGCATGCAGAATGGCGCAGGAGGCTGCTGCAGCCGCAGAATGTGGCTCGGAGGCCCGGCTGCCCCTCTGGAGCAATACCCCTGACCTCTCCTGCCCCTGGCTCCCCATGGAACCTTTTCACAGAACCCTGATGGAGCACCAGCTAGCTCCAGGGCCACTCTGTGCCTCCAGTGGGGTCATAGGTCACTGGGGAAAGAGACATTAAGGACACAGACACCCTCCAGGAGCTGCCTCGGCAGGGAAGCCTGTCTCCGCTAGAGCGGTGTGGAAGGGTTCTGAGTGCAGACTCACGCCCACCTGACTCCACCTGGCAGAGTATCACAGGGCGGGCCACCGACTCCTCAATATGCTGGCCCAGCTCCAGATGACACACCCTAAAATGGCCTACTGAGAGCGGGCCAGGCTGTGAGAGCCTTCTACATCTCTGTCTTCCACATCTCTGTCTTCCACATCTCTGTCTTCTACATCTCTGTCTTCTACATCTCTGTCTTCTACATCTCCATCTTCTACATCTCCGTCTTCTACATCTCTGTCTTCCACATCTCTGTCTGTCTTCTACATCTCTCCCTCTCTCCTTCCTTTCCTTCCCTTGCCAGCCTTGGACTCCAGGCCTGTACCCCACAGAAGGCAATAATGATGGCCTGTACCCCACAAAAGGCAATAATGATGGCCTGTACCCCACAGAAGGCAATAATGACAAGCCAAAGTGCCCTTCAATGGGGTGGTGAGCTGAACCCTAACCTCTTGCTCCAGGGGTGTCTAGCCAGGCCGAGACAACACTGGGGACTCCCTGTCTGCAGGTCTAGAGCAGGGGATGGCAGGGGAAAGGGGGTCAGTGCCCCCTCTCTCGCAGATGCGTGGAACCCCAGGCCCAGCCGGAGCCTGGAAGCTCTGGGAGGAGGTGAGGCACACGTGCGAAGAGCCACAGGAGAAAATAAATTCCAGACACATGGTGCGGTGACAGCCGCAACAGTTTGAAGATGTCCTAATTGTGTCCCGGGGCACCGTGAGGCAGAGATGCATTTGGCTCAGCCACGGGTGACAGGCGGCTGGGAACGTGGGGAGGATTTTCTCCCTCAAAGCCCTGAGCGGTAGTCACTGCGGAGACCGCAGCCTTTGTCGCCAGGTTGTAAATTGTAATCGGAATGAGTTTTCAAGGTTGAAATAATCAAAGTCCACAGCTCCTCTCCACTCCCCCACGTGCCCCACGCCGCCACCGTCCTGAGTGCCACTCCTGTAGACACCTTCAGGATTGAGCCAGACCCCTTGCCATCCCCAGACACGCACAGATTCACATGCACACACACACACACACACACACACACACACACGCACACACACGCACACGCACACGCACACGCACACGCACACGAGTCACCTTGCCCGGGCTGCACCATCCCACATGGTGGTGCTGACAAGACTCACGTCCATGTCCCTTCTGCCCCCCCAGGTTGACCAGGCTTTGATACCTGACTCCACACCTGTTGTTTATGGTTTTGTTTGGTTAGTTAGG